GGGAATGGACTTCTCTTAGCTTTCTAAAAACCTCTCATCTTTGTACTTTTGTTGTATATACAAATACATTGTAACTTGTAAAGATATTTTATCAATGAATTAAGAAACACTTTTGAACTTGAAATTGCTTTTTTCTATGTTGCACAATCTCAATGCATTTTTGAATGACTTAGCTTCATTATCGACTTGGAAACTCTAACTGCTGACTCAAGGGTCGACTTGCCTTCTGTCAGAAGGACATGTCTCGAGCTCGAGTAATCAGTTTGATGCTTTAGTTTTTGTCTAAGTATAGAATCAATTTGGCCGACTATTCTACTAGTCAGTGTCTGAAATTCTTGAGACGAGTGCCTGAAAAATACTCTTGAAGTCAACTTTCAGCTGTTGAGGGTCGACTAGGGCATAGTCGATTGCTCGCTAAATAAATGTCATTTAGTGAGTTTCTAGAAGCCTTTACTGGGCAGGTGAAACATCACTATTTGCAATGACATAATGCTTTGTCAGTTGTGTTCGCGGGAAAAACCGTTGCTTTCTTCATTAATGATTCCATTGTACACTCTTGTAACAGTTTATCGATTACAAAGATCCGGTCTTTTTATAAGATCCGGTTACAACGAAAATCAAATAAAAAGAAATGAAAAATTACAACTTTGTTTCCTTGTTTGTCGAACGAATCACGAGCTCCTGTTTTGTGGTCGCTCGCTTTGTGGGTTCTTTGCCTGCGCCGGGGTTATTTGCCGTGGACCACCACGCGATCTAGATCTGGTCGGATCTACGCAGTACGACGGGTATTATTCCACGAAGGAAATAATAGCCGGGAGGGATTGATTCACCAAGGAAACAATCGCTCAAGTCTCGGGATCTAAGACCAAGCCTAGATCCGGAGTTCGTACACGTAGATCTGAGATCTGGTCCTCTCGAACTCCTGCCTTATTTGGCGTTGACGGTCGTCGAGCACCAGATCTGGATGAGCAAGTCGTTGAAGTCCTAAAGTTTGAATCTTGTTTGGATCCCGGAGTTCGTACACGTAGATCTGAGATCTGGTCCTCTCGAACACCTGCCTTATTTGGCGTTGACGGTCGCCGAGCACCAGATCTGGATGAGCAAGTCCTTGAAGTCCTAAAGTTTGAATCTTGTTTGGATCTGAGTCTCGAGTTCAGCA